CAAGTTTGTTTAATAAAATTTTTATTATACATATCACAAGAGTTAATTTTGTTTATTAGTTTATTATTATATATGTAGACAAGATTGTTATATATTTAATAAAAAAGTAAATTCCGTTATATATATATATATGGGATGTTTGGATAAAACCAAACTATGATTTGGAGAATAACTTATGGAGAATAGATTCTTAGGAGAATAGATTTTATGAAAAAATGATTTTGATAAAGTGAGAATGTTTGGATAGTTGTAACCAGAAGTACTTTTTTACATGTACAAATTACTAAAAAAGTACAAGTTAATATGATAATTACATAAAAAAATAGATTTTATAATGTATTTTAATTTAAAGAAATAAAATTATTAATAATATATTTTTTACCAGCATAATTAATAATAAATAATATAATACAATTAATAATTAATTAATATGTGTATATATATTTATAAAATATAAGATTAAATATGTTTATAAAAAAATTGAGGGGGTGTTAAAATAATATTATTGTTGAGATTTAATCTGACAGGCATAATCATACTCGCAAATTTGAGCCAAAAGTAGAATGTATTTACTTCTTTTGAAATTATAGTTTTGAGTCCAAAATCATGGTAGAACTGCGATTTATTAATTCCCCTCCCCTTTTGGCAAATTTGGGACCCAAACCATAGTTTGGGTCTTAAAACCATGGTTTTTTATGTTATCCAAACAGGCCTATAAATAGGGATAATTTTGTACTCTTCCGGTCCTTAATATAGGATCCAATTCTTGAGTTGATTTTGGTCCTAAATATAAGACCCATTTCTCATATTTATCAGTTTTTTCTAAATTACCCCTATGAATACTCTCTCAACCATAATCAAGTAAAAGAGGGAGATGAGGTGTTAAGAAAGATGATTATGGTGTTTTATGGTGTTTTAAAAAATGTGTCACTTTTCTTATAATTAACTAACTTACCTAACTTCCTTAATCTAATCAAATTAGTTAAATGGATCTTACATTAAGGACCGGAGGAGTATTTTGATATAGTCTTACTCCTCCGGTCCTAAATATAAGACCTTTATATTGTGTAAACATTATTGTCATAGTCTTATTTTGTATTTTGATATAGTCTTATTTTTGATATAGGACCGGAGGAGTATTAGTTATTCTCATATTTTTTGTAATCCAACCAAATATTTTTTATGTCTATGTATCATTTTTCAATAATTACGTACCAAATAAACTTATGTAAACATCATTATAGTACATTCTATTACATTTCATTCATTCCATTACATTCTTTAAGATTCATTGAACCAAACAGGCACTTAATTTCTTCTTACATTACCTCCAACCCTTAATATAAGAACTAGTTTGATATTCAATTTGATTTTAAATATAAGACTTTAATTATTTTCTTTTTTTTTCTTCTCATATTTGTGTATTCTTTCCAAAGTAGTTATTAATAGGTAATTTAAACACATATGATTAATACAAGTATTTAAAGAAAGATGGCATCTATTTACTATAAATAACTAATTAAACAACTTTTTTAATCTTTTTAAATTAGTCAATCAAATATTATATTAAAGTTAGAGGAAATATATATTTTTTAGGAAGAATCAAGTTATTTGATTTCATGGCACCAAAATGTAAAGTGCAAGATGCACCCCCAACGAGGGGAGAGGATTGTTTAAAATGTGTAATTATATTATATATGAATATGTCCTGGCCTATAATTGAATAGACGAGAAAGGGTCAAGTCCATCCCTATCCGCACCTAACGGATTCCTTCACTCAATCAAACTGTATGATGCTGCATATTTTGTTCTCAAGCAACCAACCCTCCCCTCTTCGCATTTACCTCCCATCTACGTGTGTGTGAGACATTAATTGCGGATGCTTCTCCAGACAGGGATGTGAGGGACTGCCCCTTCTACTAATTTTCTAGGGCACTCTATATCGTTCATGGGTATTCCTGTCATTTTGTTACTGTGGCTCTTACGTAGAATCACGCGGTATTTGACCTCTTTTGGTGGTCAATTTACACGCATTTGGTTCATTAACCCCACTCAACAATCAGCGCCCATACCATACCGGCTGATTCACCATATCGAAAGCAGTAAAGCAAGTAGGGCAAGTAGTAATATTCGGTTCCCTCTGACGAGTTCCCACGTTACTATAATAATTTGGTCCATTCCCTTTAATTTAGCTCTCTTCATTGATCACTTCACGGTCACACCCCTGTTCACACGCGCGAGTTGCTGTGAAATATTGTTCTCTTTACTCTTTCAGCTTCTTCTCTGGCGTACCACAGTATGGATGGAGGAAGAAGGAAGAGGAGACTGGACGGCGAAGAAGAAGATAGCGAGGAGCAGAAGATGGAGAAGTTCTTTGCCTTGATAAGAAGCACTAAAGAGGTGCGTGATCGCCTCTCTAAAGAGAGAGACAGTAATAAGAAGTTGGAGGAAGACAAGTTCAAGAATATTTGGAACCCAACTTTTCAACCTGAGGATTTCGTGCCCGATTATCAAGATTCAGGAACTAGAACCACCCACCCGGCTGGTCCTTCCAATGAGAAGGAGGTCGACATAGTACAAGACAAAGAATCCGAGCCAATCGCGGAAGCTGCGCCGCCGCCCCCGCCCCCGCCGCCTCCTGTACATGATGAAAAAGCTAACGAAGAAGATAAGCTGGACTTAGACCTCAATCTTTCTTTATAGCGCATTAAGCCGATTTTGTGTTGTGGTTTTGCGTCGGAAATGAGTAATCTAGCTTCAGAAATCGTTGTGACGGGCTTCTTATTTTATCCTTGTTTACTCCGACCATTAATACACCACATCTTGCTATACTTTAATCGAGTAATTTCTTTGTCTTTTCTCTACTCTCTCTCAACCCCTTTTCTAAATAATACTAGTCTCTCGTAACTTTGATAAACGGAAAGAATTGTAGGATTCTGGCCATATAGTATAGTTGCCTGAATCGCAGGAAAGCTACACATTATTGGTCATTTTTCACTCAGATGTACTGCTTAAGTTGTTAACTTGAGGGCATTGATTGGCCAATTAGCCAAGCTGAAATTTAGTAGACTGAGAGCTATTAAAGCCATCTTATGCAATAAAATATGGCGGATAGAGTGCTCCCTGATGAAGGACAGGAAGATGGTAGGAATGGGAATAGCATATTAGCATGGGTGTTCAAGCAAGTCTCCTGCCTGAGTTTGGACGACAAATTTCGATCCGCGTAATAAATGCTGGGCATTGAAAAAATTGTCACTGTTTAATGAAGGAGGGGGGTACGGTAAGTTGTAGTAACACGGGGAGAAGATTGACAAGTAACGTCAATCCGTGATTAATTAAGAGTAATGTAGGGATGATGCAATAACATGACATCAGGCGTTTGGGAAGAGCGGTGCAATAATGATCATGATTAGATTGGCATCATCCAAAACGCCATTTAGCGGTTTAAATTTGAAACCCTACAAGGGCATAGCCCACATTAGGCCCCATTGGACCCAAAGCCGCCCTTGGATTCTTCAACAAGCGTGACCGGATTGTGCACAACCTCTAGAAGTAGGTCCAGTCTCGCTACCTGCTGAATTATCAGGCTGAATCTGGACCCCATGGTAGGCATAAACTGCTGAGCAGGTTGGAGAGACATCGGATATGAAGGTTCATACGTCATCTTCTCTGGTAGGCTTGGCCTGCCTGGTCGTTTTCTAGCGACGGGCGCAAGGCACGCGGGTAAGAAAATATTCGGTGTGACCAGAAAGCACCTATGCATCCGGAAAGGAGGCCTTCAGCCGACATACCCTAACACATTGTTTGGTACGGGATTTTTGGAGGGGAGTTGCTCCCCTCCCCTTGTTTGGGTGGTGTAATTTTTTAGGAGGGGAGGGGAGTCCCTCCCTTTCCCTCGTTTGGTTAAGATATTTTTTAAAGAGGGAGGGATTCTTCTCCCTCCTCTTCCCTTCTAGCCTCCCCTCCAAAAATGGGGTTTTTTTGGAGGGGAGATGAGAGATAATATTTTAATTCCTTATATACCCTTTTGATTTGTTAACCTCTAATTAGTCGTAAACATTTTTACATAAGAGAGTTTTTTTGAGCATTTAACAAGAGGTTATTAAGATAATTGTCTCTAAAATTAGTGAGCATTTGTAAATTTTTTTTTCTCTTCTTCTAATTCCAAGAGGTTGTTGGTATTTTCTTTCACCTTCAAGGTCTTTTCTCTGATTGAAATCTATCACTCGTGACTTTTGATCTTGATATTCTATAAGTGTGTGACTATGTCTTGTAAATCAAAATTGGTGAATTGTATTATATATATAGTTATATCTTAACAAAATAAAAAAGTGAGAAAATTCATTTAAATTTTATGAGGTTAAAATAGTCAATTTTTTATTAGAACAAAATAAGGTAATATTAAAATTGCTCCCTCCCCTCCCCTCCAATCAATCCAAACAGGAGATCATTAAAATCCCTCCCCTCCCTTCCTCCTTCCTCCCCTCCCCTTTGTAGCTACCCTTTTTCCTCCCCTCCCCTTCCCTCCATCGAGCCAAACACAGCGTAAGGGATAATAGCGTAGGGCTTTAGGAACTTGTCAACCAAACTAGTCAGATTCACATGACGAGATTCTATTTTCTGAAAACCACTACCTCTTATGTTTGATATTATAAGAGTTTGTTGAATAATTCAAATAAATTAAAAAAATTAACTAGATTAGTTATTTGTAATAAATAAATATTATCTTTCTTAAATATTATTGCTAATTAAAAGTCTTTTGATGAAACATATCAAAAATATTTAATATATGTAACTATTATAAATACTACTTTAAAAAAAATAGATAAATATAAAAAATAAAATAAAATAAAATTTTATATTTAAGATCAAATTGAAAACAAACAAGATTTTATATTAATAACCGGACGTTTTATATATTTATTATAATCCTAAGATTCAATTTGATAAAGTTCGAGCTTTTAAAGACACCTTCCATTCAATAGTCACTTTCCGAGAACAGACACTTGGAATTGAATTAACAGAGAGATAACAAAATGAAGATGTCCCAAACTAATACATTTTAATTTAATACTTGCGTAAAATCAAGAAAGAAAAGTTATCAATTGGATGGTTGGACACTGATCTTGATCGTCTCCAAGTTCCTCTTGGAACCGTGGGGATATCAATTGACGCTTCAGACAGACGGAGGGATCGAATCAAAATGAAGGGAGTCTAGATGTATCAATTGCGGCAGAAGAAATCGAAAGGTATGCGAGGTGTGGAATAAGCCATAGAAAGTATCTTAGAAGCCACCATTGAATTTGCAGCCTCAGTGAAATGAATTCCGTCCCAATTCACATACCGAGTTCCTTCCCCGCAAACCTGATAACCAGGTTGACCGCATGTCACTCTGTTATCGAAATTATATGGGGGACCTCCGAATCCACAGCACGCCATCAATGGATTTGAGAAACCTATTCACCATTACGATCACAGTTCAGGCAAGGAGAATAATGTAATTTACAAGTGGAATGGAACATATGCTAATGCCTACCATATTTGGCGGCATTTGCAATGAGGTCATGCTTGATGCTATAAATATCCACATGAACTAAAGTAGCATCTTTCAGTTCAGTTCTTAGCTTCTGAAGCAGATGAAGCAGCGCCTCATTGAACAATCTTGCAGCACTATTGTAATGGGAAAGGCATCCAAGTGAATCCACAACCTTCGTTTGAGCCAATGAGATTAATTTAGGAAGACAGCCCAATGGTCCGGTGTTGTGAACCCAGAACTTCCTGGCACCTTCATTGTACAAACTCTGCATATATTACCCCATATTCAGTGTTATTCACCTTTAATGAAGGTTTTTCTATCTTGATCATTTGACTCGATAATTTCAAGAATCATTGGACTGACCTTAATACCACTCTCAATTTCTGCAACAACCGCCGGGATTCTCTTAACGACTTGCGCATAAGAAAGGTTCTTGGAAAAGGAATCGCCAATGTCATTCTGTCCAATATCAATCATGTAGAGTGCATTTCGAAACCCGGCATCGTTGATATGATTTCTAGCACCTAAATTATAAGGATGTGAATAGTTTACAAGCTCAGCATTCGCTACAATCTGAGAGCAATATTCAAGCGGATGTATCTGATCCAACAATCCACTCAATAGTAAACTACTGGAACATTAAAAAAAATATTTGGAAGAACAGAAAAGTCGATATGAATGCATATTCTCGAGAAATCAGTCATGAAAAAAAGAAAGGAAGAAAAATTGACAAATTTTTAAAAGAGGGGTCTGCAAGAGCGAGCGAAGTTTACCGGAAGCTACAAGTTCGAGGGTACGAGCCTTGAAATGGAGGAACTGCATGATCTGGATGTTCAAAGCGAATGGAACAAATTCTGGAAGGGTAGAGGACCCAACCACTGCAAAATTTGCTCCATTTGAGAACGTAGATCCTGACAAGGCGTCCAGGTATGGAGTCAAAAGACTTGCATTCAAACTCTGGCCTGCACATTTAAAAACAAATTAAAATATGAAAAATATTTCCGCACCAATCATTTTTTTTTTTCAGTTCAGCTTCTTCTAAAATTGAATTGTTCAATGCGTCAAATTTTTCCACCACCTTACACTTCGTTTGCTGCCGTGTGAAATCGTCACCATTTTTCCAATCCACCCCCCCCCCCCAAATTATGAAACTTGTCACCGCATGGTTTTCCCAGCAAAAGATGCGAAAGTCCAATGTGAAATACAGGATACTACCATCAGACATGGCACTAGAATTTATAGCAGCAGGTTACTACAAAATGATAATCAATCTGGGAATTTTCAAAACGAAAAAGCACCGTCTGGAGGAACACCTGATTTGCCTCACTAGGCACCTCGAATACTTCCTCTGTCACTTGGACTGCATTATCTTGTGTGTTTTAAAGAGGGGAAAAGACACAACTTCCTATCGTGCAGTCAGTTCAGTGATTATACAGATGGAGGCACAAGGTCTTAAATCTTTCAAGGATCTACTCTATATTTTGATTTTTGGGCCCAGGACAACCATGGTTTATTTACCAGAGTTTAAGACTGGAAGCCACTATTGCTGCGGGAACAATAGAGCTTTTTCTTTCTTCTTTTTCTTCTTACGTCAAACATAATGGAGCTTAGATATATAATACTGATTCTGGTCTTTAATATAAGATCTTGTTTGACTTTTATTTTGATTCTAAATATAAGATCCAAATTCACTTTGTCTCTAATATTTATGTATTTTTTTTCCAAGACAGTCCTCATAGCAATAGTAATTATAGCCAATACACTTAATTAATAAAGATATTTTAGGAAAGACAACACATATTTATTACAAATAATTAATTTAACCTATTTCTTTAATCTCCTCAAATTAGTCAACTAGTTCTTATAATTAGAACCGAAAATAGTATCATATATCTAATTATGCTGATGTAAAAGCCAATTAATTCATTCGAAAAGGTTACGAAAACTAAACAAATTAATGATATCATATGTTAAGTAATCTCTCTAAAATATTAATACATATATTGTATATTAATTTATAAGTTAGGCAAATTATTAATTTAAATAAAAATGATAAATATAAATGTTTTAAAATGATTTATTTAACATTTTAAATATTTTTTAAATTAGTCAATTATTTTTTTTAGCTATATATAAGTATCCTTATATCAGAAACAATCCTATTCAAAATACTATCAGACACTAAATATAAACCTTTCCTGCAAAAATTGGAAACTTGAGTTTGAATACCCGCTAATTAATAAGTCTTATATTAAGGGTTTGTTTGGAACTTCGTTCAAAACAAACTTTTAAACAAATTTACGTGAACCGAAATAAAATTTTTTTTTATATATTTATCTCATAATCTGTAAATTATATTTAAAAAATTACTTATAAATCAATCCAAACAAGTCTTAATCTGCTAGGGAAGCTGGAGACGGTGGCCTAGTCCTAGTCATGACCTGCGAGTCATGAGTTCCTTGGATTTTGGATGGCCCCGCCGTTTACCCCCGCCGTTTACCCCCACCGCGGAAAAACGTCTCCTTGTGGGTCCCGCTCCTTGGATCATATGAAACAGCCCATGTTGGAGTCGATGGGATCGGTAATGGGCTTTGATACGATAGCCGAATGTGGACCCAACTACTAGGACGTCCCAGGCCTATGCCAACTTTGAACGACATTACCACCAAGGGTTGGACCAATCAGTAAGAGACAGGTTCATAACTGATAAAATCGTGAGTTTGAATTCCACTACTGATATAAGGATTTTGTTAGTAGCTAATCTATAAATATCTTTATAAACACTCTCTGAACTTAGAGACATATCCTGATGCTAGTGGCTTTCAGATTCAATTCACCTAAATTTTTTTTCTTAAAAAAAAAAAAAACTGTGAACGCCATTACTTACTGACGCTAGATTCACTCCCTCCCTCACTGATTCATTCCTTAATCAGACGGTCATTATCGGATCATTTTCGCCCTGCAATATTTTGTCGGCGAACAGAACACCACCGACGATATGTCATAATCGCCAGCTCCGCTCTTCGGAGGCGGGGGCTGAGATGTATCACCGTGTCCTTTCCTTTCTTATTTTTTGTTTTTAGAAAAAAAAAATACTAGTATTCTTAACTTTGTCATGGATATCCAACCTAATCGAATCAATCAGATGCGGTGATTGTAGCCGTGATAAACTATAGTAGCCACACATTGAGAGAGGGGGGAAGACTTACAGAGAAAATCGATGATGAGGCGTCCATCGGACAAGCGACCGGTGGATCTGTGGAAGAAAGTGCGGCCATTAGGAAGATTGATGGGGAAACCGAGTCCGGAAGCGAGTCCTCCCGTGTCGGAGTTAGAATCGCCGAACACAAATATGACGGCATCCTTATTGCATTGAGCCACGGCAAGAAGCGCAAAGGAACAAATGAAGAGTAGCTGCAAGGAGAGGGAAAGAGAGAGAAAAGCCATACTCACTGTTTTTGTGGGGCTCCTGGCTACTCAGCACCACTTTGGAAGAAAGCTTGCCCCTCCCACTGTTTGTGTTTAAATGTGGTTGGTACTTTTCTCATTTCCTCTATTACCCAACCTCAATTTCCTCTTCGTCCTCATGACCTCATCGCTCCCTCAGCTTCAAAGGGTAGATCCTCAAATTTTTTTTCAGTTGTAGTTAATTTAAATAAAATCCAGTAAAATTATGGTGTTAATTAAGTTGGTAACCATAGACCAGCACTGACTACGCTGAGACCCTCTTAATCTTTCACGTGCATCAGGAACAAGGACTTTTTTTTTTATGGGGTCCTTCAGTGTCTTCACCCCAATGAAAAAGGTGAATGGAAGACCAAAATAATAGGATTTTTTTTTTCCCGGTTTTCCCACGAGAGCTGTGTAAACTTTGAAGGCCAAAGCCAGTGTCGCTAATGCGTGGATTGGACCATCTGGTCAAATTGTTTTAACAAAGTAAGAAATGTCACGCTTTTCACTAAAAAAAGTAATAAATGTCACAAGCTTTGAAGAGGGATGTCGGGGTCGCATGCTTAAGAGGCTGCCTTTCTTGCCAAAAAAGGAAACAACAACAAATTACTACCAAAAACGGAAAACTTGGAGGGCTGTGCAGGAAGGGAAATATTAATATAAGTTGCAGGCCGTTTTTAACAATATACTCACCGCGACTTCTCTTCCCATCTGGTCGTCGGAATTGGAAGAAGATGAGTAACAGTAATGGCGGATGTTATATTATTAGTAAAGAAAGTACTCAAAGTAGTGCTCCTTCGGTATTCAATATAAAATTTATTTAATTAATTTAATTAGATTAAAAAAGTTAAGTAAATTAGTTAATTATAAAAAATATAATGTTGAAATTATACGAGATATAATATATTTTTTTAAAATATCATGATCATCTTTCTTAATATCATCCATCATTCTTCTACTTGATTTTAATTAAGAAAATATCAATAAGAATAATTTTAAAAAATTAATAAATATGATAAATAGGTCTTATATTCATGATCAAAATCAACTCAATGAAATATTATTTTTGAATAATTTTGTCTTCATTTTTCTGGATTTCTATATTTCTCATGGACAAAGAAACGGCGACTCTGAAATTTAGGAGAAAAACGTCAAATTGTAGGCTAAAGCTGGACAACTATTTCTCACTACGACAGAAAAAAAACAACGTATTATTAGCCAACAGTTGTCAATTTGTCGTGCTATTCCTTGGGATCAAACTTGAAGAATATATTACACTGACCAGAAAAAAAAAAATTTGGGGGGGGGGGGCATATATAACTGCATTTGCATTTTATAGTGCTTGTAAACAATTAATTGACATTAATTAAAAACCCCAACCCCATCACACGTCGTCTTCAGCCAAAGAAAACAACATATCCCCGTGGTGGGAACTGGAGCATAATTTCTTCCTCTGTTAATACGGACATTCTTCAAGAAAACGCAGACAATTAAGAACCTCTGCAAGCTATTTAAGATTAAGACAGCTATATATTTTCAGAGATTTCAAAGATCAACGGAGCTCTTCAACGCAGTATGAGCTATACTATGGACCTGCTAGAGTTAATAACATAACTTGATATTATTAAAATAAGAAATATTAAGCAGTTGAAGAGTAAAGAAGGATGAAGATATTGCAGCCAAAAATGACCAATGTGGGGAAAAAGATCTCTGCTGCTGATGGCAAAGATGAGATGAAATTAATTATGGGGAGTGATCAGAGGAAGGGAACTAAATGGGGACTCGAGAATCAGGAAGAACAGGGGCGCGTGACCAGTGACATAAGACTAGAATCAGGAGACACGATGGAAAGGGGCTTTTTTCGAAACTCATTTCATACGCGTGGCTCTCTGCGTCGACGTCGTCCGACTCCATTGATCGACCCTTTTTCAGAACACCTTTCTTCCCTTCCTCAACTTCTTCGTTTTGCTCTACACCACCAACTCTATCTCAAAATAGTCCCTTCTTTCTCGTTTTTGGTTTTTGAGTGATCTCTCATCTATCCTACGTTTTACTTTACTTTATCGCCAATGATTATTATTGTTTGCGGCGTTATATATATATATCTCCCTCTCCCTCTCGGTACTCTTACGCATGTCAAGTTTATGGCGTGCGCTAGCTGCTTCGTTACTGGAAAGAATACATCATATCATAATTTTACTTAAACTTGCACGTAAATCTTTTGTTAATTAAAATGACTAAAAATGCAGAGCCGTGGCAAAGTTGATATTGGAGAGAGCGTCAACCTCAAGACCCCTGCATTAGGATGATGCATCATGTGATGGAGCACATGCACGAGGTGGTTGGAGGCGTGAAGCAGAGCAGAGAGAATTTAGTGCGGCTGGCTGCCACGTCAAATTGGTGTTTCCGAGACCAAAAATAAATGTGATTAAGTGAGGTTCCAATAGGAAGAGAGTGGAGCCCACTTCAAATAGCCGCTGGTAGGATCGCCGTCTCTTGAAGCAATCCCCCGGAGAGTGAGAGACTCAAACCCTCCTTGCCTTTAAGACAAGACACCGCAGAGTATATGAGTGCGCGGAAGCCGCCGCCGCATGCATTCTCTTTACGTGCACCCGGCGACCACCTCATCCTATTTATTGTTCTCGCTGACATGGCCTTGCCCTTTTACCTAATTTCAATTAAATGCCTCTCTAACCACCAGGTCATTGTTAATCAATGCTCATCTCCTGTTCCTTCAAACCTGTTTCTTAATACTACTTCTGGTTTCAATTATAAAACCTTATTTGTAATCTATAAACGAGGTTTTATAATTAAGATCAGAGGTAGTATGTACTAATATTCCTACATGTATGAACTGTTAAGTCCCGGTAGCTACTAACAATTTATAACTGCTTCCTCCTATACGTTAAAATTCTCTAATCATCATTATCGTTACCAACGCATCAACATCAGTATAGCATACTCCAAAATTAAATTATACAGTTTTGCACGAGCCCTAATGGCTATAAAGTATAAATGCTCGGATCAACTTTAGTTTATGCGCAATGAGTATTGGAAAGGTTATATGCATAATTTTGAATTTATTTATGCTAAAATATCTGATGAATTTATTTATTTTTATATCCCTGGAAAATTAAATACTTCACACTACACGCTATACTAAACCGATGTGGTAACAAGAAATTTAAAGAAGTTATGAAAGAATCCAAATGTCAAGAAAATCATTCGTCACGTTAAACGTCTCTTATTCACATTACGCCCACGATTTTCCTCATAGCTTTCGCCTCCTTTCTTTCTTTTTCCTTGTATCTCTCTCGAACCTCAAGCCACTGTTGCATTTCGCACTCTATAAAAGCATATCGACTCTCTTCCATCTCAGCGCAGACGAGATAAGTGGAGAAGATAACGAAGGCCAGAGGGAGAAGATGGCGAGTGGATTCCTTCCATTTCTGGCGATGGCTTTCGTGCAGCTGGGGTACGCAGGCATGAACATCATTTCAAAGCTTGCAATGCAATCTGGCATGAACCCTATCGTCCTCGCCGCTTATCGCCAAATCTTCGCCACGCTCGCCATTGCTCCCTTTGCTTACTTCTTCGAACGGTATAAATGTCTTCGTTATTTTCATTTATATCTATCTGTTCTTTCGCCACCTTCTTATTTTCTTAATCATACATGCATGCATCAACATCAAACACCTTACCCTGCCTTTCAAATTTCAGTTACTGCTACTCTGCTTATATATATTGTATAGCCTCATCTTTTTCATGCATCTTTTTGACGTCTTCCTAAATCAAAAGTAAATTCAAACCTTGAAAGCTTTCTGTAACAAGTGTATGAAAATAGTTCGAATAAGAACATGGGATCAGAAACAAACAACTGAAACCGAGTAAATGAGACTGTCCATTTAGTCTGTCGCCTTCGATCATATGTTCAAATGCACTGAAAGAGAGCCTAACTGACGTGATCGGCAAGGGGGTGGAGACAATTTTTTAACGTTTTCCTTAAAATCGGGTGCTACTCTCCGGGACATGCGCACGTAGGGTTGGCCTCTTGCGTGTTTTGGAAATAAGTGATCGGTGCAAGGCAGCAAGAGTAATCTTAACTATATACTTTTCTGTACAAGTTTTCCTTAGAGTGGTCTTGTTTATATGAAATAAGCTAAAGAGATAATATTACTTGTGAAAGAAAAATAAGCAACGACCACGCACTGGATCCAGATTCTCTGTTTATCTGCCTTTAATTTTTATTCTTGTTTTGTTTTGCAGCAAAACGGTCCCCAAGTTGACCAGGCCCATTGTGTTCCAGATATTGCTTTCTTCCTTAACTGGGTAAGCCTTTGGTCTGTACCTCATTCTCACGCTCGGCCTTGTTTTATTTGTTCTGCGCGTTTAACCTAACAAGCGTTCGCCCAGATTTTTAAGTATGCCGACTTGAAAAGGGGCTGCGATGTGTTCATATTCGTCTGTGTGAGTGGTGTATTTTTCATCTCTAAAATTGAGTCGGTTTGAGGATGAAATGATGCAGGGTAACTGGAAACCAAGTATTTTTCTTCCTGGGCTTGAAATACTCTACTGCCACAATTGCATGTGCGATGACAAATTTGCTCCCAGCTTTTACCTTTATCCTTGCACTCATCTTCAGGTGCGTCTACTACACACACACACACATGTGCAACTATGTTTTCAGAATTTATAGTATTGTTGGCAGTCTTAAATACTTGAGGATTAAAAATTTTATTTTTGGTCTGTGGTGTGGGCAGACAAGAGTACCTGAAAATAAGGGCATGGAGTGGGCAAGCAAAGATAATAGGAACTGTATTGTGTGTGGGTGGAGCCTTGGTATTGTCATTCTACCATGGAAATGTCATTGACATAGGTGAATCAACTATTCACTGGGGATACGCAGAGAGAATGCAAGCAACAAGCTCCTCTGCCAAACCCAATACGTTTCTTGGCCCTTTCTTCTTGGTTGTTAGTGCTCTCGTCTGGGCAGTATGGTTCGTCGTCCAAGTAAAGCTTCATGCGCCTACCTCTTACGTTGTTCCTCACAATTTCTCCCTACAAAGTAATAGTAATATGATAACAATAATAATAATTCTTTTAAATATCAGGCGGACATGGCAAAAATTTTCCAGCTCCGTACACGAGCACAACCTACATGTGCTTCTTGGCGAGCTTCCAGTGTGTGGTCATTGCTCTGTCTTTTGATCGCAGCGCTTCAGCTTGGTCCCTCGCAAATCCTATCCGAGTCATTTCTGCTCTTTATTCGGTTTGCTGCCTTCTGCATTCTATAAACTACCCCCACTTCCAGTTGCTAGTACTTATTGTTAGCGTTATCAATTAATTAATGTGGTAATATGTACTGGTTTCAGGGGGTTCTTTGCACAGGAGTGGCGTATGGGTTCATGTCGTGGACTATTGAGAGGAAAGGTCCTCTTTATGTGTCTGTGTTCACCCCCTTGCAGCTCGTCATCACTGCTTTTATCAGCTGGGCTCTGCTTCGCGAGGAAATATACGTCGGAACGTATGAAATATAATATACATTTTCCGCTTCAATAGTTACCGATCATATATAAATGTTTGGCTTTTGATTCGTGTTCTATATTTGGTTCAGTGCTATAGGGTCGCTGCTTATAGTTATGGGACTCTACTCTGTGTTGTGGGGGAAGAACAGGGAGGTTACCAAGAAAGACAATAATGAAGATATAGAATCAGCGGCGGAGAAGAAGGCAAAAGAGGCGAAGAATAGCGACTTGGGATTGCAGTCCTTTATGGTGTCTTCAAACTCAAGCAATGAGTTTGCTGCTAGCTAGAAGCAGAGCTTTATCAAAGATTACTGAGAAGGAGACCGCTAATGGCCAAGCATCTTTCGGATCATCAGTCCTTTTTTTTTTTTTTGGGGATTCTTAAGTGGAGAAACATTATTCCCCAATACAATCCTCGTATTCTATTTTCAATGTAATGATTCGATACCGCCACTGTTGGATATCTTCTTGCCTTCCCCCCCCGGGGGAATGATATAAAAAAAGGTCAAGATATCTGAATTTGACAGTTAAACCCGCGGGTGCCAATTAATTCATGGCTTATTTGGATTTAAGCATCTTCACGTAATTTAAGGTAAAACTCATTCCATATATTTATTTTGTACTTCATAAATCACAATTAACAAATTATTTATAAATCATTTCAAACAAATCCTCCGTCTACCAAAATAATCTTAAATCTAGATTCAACTTAACAAAACAATAACAGATCATTTTATCGAATAAGAAAATAACAAAATAATAATTTATGTTCAACAAAATAACAATTTATGTATAGTAAAATGATGAATAGAATGAATAATGTGACATTTTATAACTTAAATGCTGTATATTGTATTATTCATTGCAGAAAATTTTTTATTCTTCCGATCTTAAATATAAGACTCATTTTAATAAATTATACTATAAAATAAATTTTATATTTAAGACTGGATAAAGTAATTAAATAAAAATATATAATTCTTAATAACAGCCTGTATGGATGAATCGCAAAGAATAATCATTTTGACTGCCAGACCTATTCCTCGTGTTGGGTCCTTCGGATCCAACCCAAAATGAAAAAGATTAGTGCCGGCCATGGACAACGTTTTTTTTTTTAACAAAACCAGTTGAGTGAATTAGTTCCTGAAAATTTTTCAGGATTAAAGCATACCTCCAGACTCAGAGAGCATTTATAGAAGTATTTATAGATTGCATACTAATAAAGTTCTCACACCCATAGTAGGATTCAAACTTATAATCTTATGAGTTATAAACCGACTATTTACTAGCTAGACCAATTCTTATTAGTATAGACAATGCTGTTTAAGTTCACAGTCTGAAAAATCACATTCCGTTTAATATTCTGGATTAGTACCCCAAAATATGCTCTGGACTCGGCCCGCGTTATGCCGAGCTCTTGTGTCTGGTGAATCCGCTTCTGCGGACCAAATAAAATTTAAAATAAAAAATAGGTGAGAAAAAGCAGAACCCGCGCTGATATGGCATGATCGGTGCCCTCATGAAATGTTTTGACGATCAACAACCGCGTCAGTCAAATTTCCTTAACAGAGACTAACGCCGTCAAATGACCGTTTGCATTCCGTCTCTCGTGCATTATAAAAATGTGAGGAGCTCATTCCTGCCTTCACAGGCTTTGCTCTCGTTGTATTTGGATCTGCACTCAAATCAGTGATCGTGTTATCTCTCTCCATGTAAGTGGCTTCTACAATGTTTAGATTAACTTTTTGCTTTTGATTTCCTCAGATCAGAATTTAGTTTGGTTCGAAATCTGCGGATCCGAGTTCATTCGTTTAGATAGCCAATGAATGGTTGCGCTACGAGAGCCTCATTTGGATCTCTTGGTTTTTGGTTTTCCTTGCAAGGATTCAATCTGTACGAATTCTTTTCCGTGTAAACCATATTGAACGTCCTATTGTAAATGCAGATTTATTCACGAGAATAGATCTTACAAGCGGTTGTGATTTTGAATTTTATTATTTCATGCAAGCAGATCTGAAAATTTTGACAACTTACGTTTAAATATTTAATTGATGTTGAGGTTTTTGTGCATGTTTGTTAGATTTCAACATAATTTGAGAAACAGAACTGCGAATAGTTTTCCTACTGAGGTTTTAGTCTAGCACGAAGATCCTTTGTCTGAATCCTTTAAGCGTTGCAGTTCTCGTTGCTGCATGGGTATGAATTAGTTTTTCTGGTCCCGTGGTGATGATAATGGTCCTGAAATATTTGAATTTTTAAAGTGAGGAACTGATTGATGAATGAATCTGCGATTTCATCACTTAATTGGCCTTTTGAGTCTTCTCCTTATGCAGCTGAAAGAAGAGATGGGGTTGTCTTTCGGTAAGCTATTTAGCCGGCTCTTTGCCAAGAAAGAGATGCGTATTCTGATGGTAGGTCTCGATGCTGCTGGTAAGACTACCATCTTATACAAGCTCAAGCTCGGAGAGATCGTGACCACCATTCCTACAATTGGTATGCTGCTTATTTTCTTATATCTTGCATTTTTTTCGTTTGCTGATATTTCTGAATTTTATGCCCCAGTGTTTCTTGGTGTTCTTTGCTTACTTGATCTGATCCAATTTCACATGCTACAGTATTTATGATCAGAAAAATAATTGCAATTGCAATTGATGCTTATATTCACTACTTTACAGGGTTTAACGTAGAGACTGTGGAATACAAAAACATTAGTTTCACGGTTTGGGATGTTGGTGGCCAGGACAAGGTTTGTTACTTGTGTCTTATCGGTAGTTAGATTATGTTGAGATCTCTTTCAGCTTTGGTAATTATCTGATTTATTAACTATACCATGATACTTTTATGTTTTTTACTGTTGTATTTCCCATTAGTGGAGTGATTAAAAAAAATTCTTTTAAAACAAGAGTGAACTTGTGTCGTATGCACTCTAATACTTGTCATGTGAGTTGTGTTTTCATGTGAGCTTGGGTCTCGTGCTAATTAGAGGCTCTTTGTTAGCACACAACGTAAACTCCGTTATTTATATTGGAGCCATCTAATCATATTATGCTTTTCCTAAGATATTATGGGGTCATGAAGGTTTGTTTTAAACATGCAGTAAACATAGATCATTCATAATCTTCAATCATTTGCTTGTTGTACTCAGCAGCTTTTACCACCCTGTCTTGAATGGGTCTATTAGGTTAGCTTATAATTTTGTAATGTCACCATTTGGTTCTAGCATGCTTAATGGACCATAAACCTTTCCTCATTAATCGTCTTGCGTGGTGCGACTACAGATTCGTCCTTTATGGAGACACTATTTCCAAACACACAAGGGCTCATCTTTGTTGTTGATAGCAATGATCGTGATCGTGTTGTTGAGGCCAGAGATGAACTTCACCGGATGTTGAATGAGGTAATAAAAGATTCTCAATGCTGTGTTTTGGCATGCGCCATGGATTTTGGTTATGTATACAGCATTGTATTGAACATGAAAGAGAAAGGGGAAAAGGAGAGAGAACATCATGGAAAAAAGTCCTTCTACTGGAATATTGAAATTGGTTAACCCAAAATCTTATTAATCATTTTGGGTTTTGGAATCTTTATGGGTTTCTGACATTATCGAGTGCAAAATAGCCTGGTAACCTTTAAAGCTTATTAATAGAGATCATCTTGCTGGTCGGAGACTTTCTTTAGCGGCCAACTCTATAAATGACGGAAATAAAACTTGGAACTTTTATGTAGTAATACTATTTGCTCCCATCACTTCGTGAATTAATGCTTACTAATGTTCTTAACACCCAGGACGAGTTGAGAGATGCAGTACTTCTTGTATTTGCCAACAAGCAAGATCTGCCAAATGCTATGAATGCTGCCGAAATCACGGACAAGCTTGGTCTTCATTCTCTCCGTCAGCGCCACTGGTATTTTGATGCAATTGATTGATGTCTGCCTGCCTTGAGCATTTGAAGCACGTGTGTTTTGTGGTGTTATCTACGTTGTTGATTCAGATAATTGGATTGTGGTTTTGTTTTTATGTCAGGTACATCCAAAGCACGTGTGCCACTTCTGGAGAAGGACTCTATGAGGGACTGGACTGGCTCTCCAACAATATAGCCAACAAGGTAGGCTTTAATAATTAATTCTACAGCTGGCTTTACTTGGATTCTTGCCCTGCGTATAATATAATTTGGTTAATTTGCGTATTTTGTATCAGGCTTAAAAGGCAATCATGTTCGATGGGATGCTGCAATCTTTACTTTAGAGTGGGCTTTTGGCTTGTATCATCACATTGATTGACTCTGATTCTGTTCCTGCGTGATTTTTCCCCAGTTTAGTTAATTGTTATATTGTTATGTCATATGCTAGCAAATCTGTGTTTTGATTAATTTGTTTCTGTAGATTCTGAATAAATGAATGAATTACATATACGCTTCATTAGCTTAGTTGTCTTAGAATTAGACACCAGTGAAGTGAGTATATATTGTCAAATCATTTTTTTCAATTGAAAAAAAGTAATGGTTTTTCTGTGGATGTATTAACAGATTTTAAGTCATTGTAGAGCTGCCATTGTCGTTGAAGTTTAGGGGGAAAAAAAAGAGAGAATATCCACGGTCATTGGA